CAGTGGTAAGTGGTGAGGTTTGTGTGGGAATGACGAGCTGGCTCTGTGCTCCTGGCTGGAGACACCCCTGGAATCAGGTGTTTGTGCACTTCTCCTACAGCTGCTTATAACCGGTATATTCTAAGTGCAGGGCTGAGAGGAAGGAGCTGACTGTGTATCCTGGTGTCTCTGTGATGACTTCTGGCTCCGCCCTCTGGTGGGTCAGAACATGGGTGTTAAGCTCTTCCTCCTTTCTTGGCCCCTTCCCCTTGAGGTTTCTCTGCAGCTGAGCAGCACTGTGGACATCTGTGATGGGCTCCCGCTCAGGAGACAACCTTCCCCTAATGCTGGACCTCAGGGCTCCTGGGACTTATTGGTCTCCTCAGTGAGTATCTGGGCTCCCTGAAAGGAAGGTTGGGGAAGGCATGGGGACAGCTTAAGACACTTCAGTCCCCCTGGGGGCATTAGGTTCTGATGTCTTTGGGAAACCAAAAGGGAAAGACAGTCTGCTATGATTTACCAAGGCTACGTGCTTGGTAGAGCTCAGGATGAGAACCATGGAGGAAATGACCTTTTGGTAACTAGCAAAGGCTAGAGCCCCTGAGCGTGAGGACGCTGCCGTGGGCTGTGCTTGTTGAGCTTCTCCAATGCGAGAGAGTTGGGGTCTCCTGGCTGTGCCGGGTCCATTTCCAAGCAGATCCTCACTCTGAGAGGCCCTTGGACAACTCAGATGCATTTTAAAATTGCTTGTGCAACATTCACTCCACTTCACTGGAGTTCCATTTAAAATGTAAAAACAAATTGGTCTTTGGTGGGATGAATCCTGCAGGAGGAAGCCCTTCGCTTCCTTGTCACTTGCCTTTGCCTCTCCACGAGGTGCTGCTCAGGATCCAAGACCTCTGGTAAAAACTTGTTTTTCTCATCACTTCTCCTGGAAAAACCGTGGAAAAATTAACAGGTGCCTATCAACTTGGAAATGACTGGACAAATGGAGGAGTATCTGTACCATGGAACATTTCTGAGGTTGAAGGACACAAATATACCAGTCTGGGAGGAAGAATTCCCCATTTCCACAACATAAGATGCATGGATTAGCATCAGGAAGGTTCAGGAAGCTGATTCCATGGATTCCCTATTCTATAAATGAACAAGCTTCCAAAACTCAGGGTGTCTGTGCAGCCACGTGTTTCTTGGTATGTTGAAGAGATGAAGAAACCTGAAATTACTGCTTCAAGCTACAGGACACTGTGAACCCAGGCACAAAAACACAGAACATGGGGAATAAAAAGAGAGGCTGGGAGATTAAGCAAAATGGGAATTTAAAAAAATCTGAACTAATAAATATGAGTCACATGAGTCATGTTATAATTATCACATGTGTCATGTTATAAAAGATTACATCTGTAAGCATGAAGAAATCGTATAAGTAAAAGTACTGAGAATATAACAAGATTAACAATCTCAAGCTTGTGAAAGCTTGCGCTGTTCTATCTTTTTAATCACAGGCACAAAATAAAGTCTATATGAAATTCAGTAGTAAAGAACACTTGTGAAACGAGATGTATGAAGTAAATGAGAAATTCTGCACTAGCAAAGTCAGAGTCCCCCTTTAAATTGGTAACTTTTTATGGACATCAAAGTGTAGATTTTTTTCAGGTTCTAAAATACTCTATAACTGGGGAGATACATTAAATTGTACAGAAATCTTGTTCACAGGCACGGGGGCTGGAAGACTGTAAAAAACAGCAAAGAAATGAAGGAATAGAAGAAAGGAAAATGGGGAGAAAATAGTGATAGAAATAGGGGAAGAATTTCAAAAGCAGTAGGAAAGAAATGGAAAGACAGGTGGAGGGGAAAAAAGTCTCAGAATTTCTTATTTTTGTGACAGCCAGTCTGATCCCAGAGAAAGACAGTGTCTCCTCACAACCTCATGCACTCATAGTGGGGGTTTTGAGGTTGGGCATTTTTGTTTTGGTTTGGTTTGTTGTTTTTTTTTTTTTTTTTTTTTTTGAGAAAGGATCTCATTGTGTACTCCAGGCTAGCCTTGAACTCACTTACGAAGCTCAGCCTGGCCTTGAATGCAAGGCAATCTTCCTGCCTCGGCCTCCTGAATGCTGGGATTATACATGGCACCTTTGCCCTTGGTGGGGGTTGGGGGTGGGAGGTGATCGGAGGGTGGGGGTTGGACAATCATCAGTGGATCGGTCCATTGATGAGTTTATAGCTATATGTGATGTGGGGAGGTGGAGGCTGGAGAAGGAGGCGGGTCTCCGGGGCCATGCTCTGGAAGGGACTATCTCTCTTTGTTCTCTGCTTTCCCACGGCCATGTCATGGGCACCTCTCCTCCACCCTAACCCTCTACCATGCCTTCCTGCCTGGAACCAGCTGACCATACAAGGCCCAAAACCTGAACCAAATAAATCTCTCTTTCTTTAAATTGTGGGCGTCTGGCACAGTGTCTCTGTGATGAGGAAAGTGACATCGATGGACTGTGAGTCTTTCATAATCACATGAGAACTGAGACAGAATGAAGTTCACTGACCCCTTGGCCTGACCCCTAGGTCTTCCTGCTCTGTTCCTCCAGACTGATATCAAAGTGTGGGCTGAGTGTGGGCATCTCAGGCCAGGACTAGAGGGGAGCAGCTCCAGGCACCACCTGTGGGGTGGTGGACAGGAGGTAGACCCCGTGGCTGCACCACGGGAGGCTGCACCTCCTGCTGGCTATAGTCTGGAGGTTGCCTCGGTGCCTCGCCACCTGGGCCTCTGTCCAAGGCAGCTCACAACAGGGCTGCAGACTTCCTCAAAGCCAGCAGGAGACAGTGAAGGACAAGGAGTAAGGGTGAGCCACGAGGAAGCCAGTGTCTTGTCCTATGTAGTTGCATTCAGTGATGTCCCACCATTTTTGTTGTTTTCTCCACCTTAGAAACCAGTCTCTAGCTGCAGCACACATCCAAGGGGAGGGGGCTGGACATGAGGAAGGGGATCCTTGGGAGGGGCTTTAAAAGCTGCCTTCTACAGTTAGGCACCAACCATGTGCCCATTGATGTGCTAGGTGCTTTTTGTCCACAAGCTCATTTAGTTCACACTGACTTTAGAAGGTAGAAAAGAACCTGACGGATGACCAGGTTCATTACACCTCCAGGGTTCCACTGCAAAGAAGCAGGGCTCCATGGCTTCCAGTTTGCTACAAGGGGCTCCCTTCTGAGGATAAGGAGAACATATTGGAGGGATTGATTTAAGGCACAGCTCTCTGTTTCTCTCCTTTCCTCTCACGGAGAAAATTCTCATGTTTCCCCTTTCCATGCTGTAGGTGTCTGCAGTAGTTCAGCCGAGGGCTCTGGAGCCCATGGTCCTGGGGGTCAAGATTCTGGAGCCCGCATTCTTCTGACGGGGATCCAAGGAGGTTCTGTCTGGTTCCATGTGAACCAGTGGCCTGGAAAAGATCTAGGAGCCAAGCTGGAGGAGACCACGTGGGGCTTTGCCTCTGAGTCAGAGTACACAGTGATGCTGAGAGTCCAGAGAGGGACAAGTGCTCCATTCTGCTCCAACCTCATGGACAGGTACAAAGCAAGGGTCCAAGTGCCAAATGTGACATCCCTGAAGATTGAGAACCGGACTCCACAGGACAGTGGGAGATACAAGGCATGCTCCTGGTTAACTGATGCAACAGAAGTTCTCCAAATTTCCCACCTCAAGGTCTATCGTAAGTGACACCTTCTCATTCTAACCCATTGGCTTCCTCCTTATTTTGAGTATAGATATGTCATAGACCAAATTTTGCAGGACTCTATTCAGATTCCAGTCTCCAGTACATAATTTTTCTCCTAAAATGGAGTGTGTTTAATAGAAACAAAGAGCAAAACTGAGATTTGTATCAGAGAGAAAATCACTTCAGAGATTTGGGGAAACTGGGAATTTGGGGATATTAGCAATAATGTTATAATAGGTCTAAATTTACTTAATTTGTATGTTAGTTTTCTATTGGTGCTATAGGTAATTTATACATGTTATTATTTTAAACACCACAAATGCATTATGTCAACGTGCCGTATCAGAGATCAGACGTGGTTCTCCCGAGCTGAAATCACAGTGCAGCAGGGCTGTGCTCCCTTCTGCAGGCTCCGGAGGAAAACAGCCCATTCTCTCACATTGCCAAATGCTAAGTGGTAACCAGAGTTGCTCACTGTCATTGGATCACTTGATCCCCTTCTTCTGCTTAAACCTGGATGGCTAAGCTGAGTCCTTCTTTCACTGTGTCCTTCAGATCTGCTGTTTTCGGTCTTTCTACCCTGATGACCCTAGCGATGAAGCTGGCCCACTAGATTATCAGCAGTAATCTTGTATTTCATGGTCAGCTCTCTACTGTGTAACTGGTTCTTGTTCCTCCCATGCAATTCCAGCCCAAGGCCAGGCTGGCTCCCACAGGACTCCAGCATTCCAGCTCTCTGAGCCCGGAGAACTGTAGGAGAACATTTACTACTATAACACTTAGGAAATCTGCTTTCTCAACTTTCTTTCCTTAAAATTCCTCTGTGTACAGGAAACTGTCTGCCATGAAGAGCAGCCTTCACAGCTGGAAGTCCCCAGTGTCTTCCAGGGCTGGCTGGTGAACCTGACTCTTCCTGTCTGGAGCACAAGTTCAGGGCATGATCTAACCGTATGCAGAGCTGTCACCCCACTCATGACCACTGCATCTCCACAAATGTCTCTGCTTTAAGAGATGGAGCTTTTCTGCGTCCTCACAGAGATGGTCCGATGTCCTGCTCTGTGAGGCCCATGCTGCCACAGGCAGTGTCTGAGCTGGAGCTGTAGGAAGGGAAAGGTTACCGCATCTGAACCAGCCCTTCTGTCTCAGACCTTTTCCCATTCCAGAAAGGAGCAAATTTGTTATTAATAGTGGTCCAGGGAAGGAGGAATCCAAGCATTCTTTTCTCATGGAAATATTTGCAGACTTGCTTAGTTAGGAAAATCACATGAGGCTTCTCATTGGATACTGTCACTTGCTCAACATTGAGCTTGAGGCAAGTCATGTTTTATTTATAAATTGCTGCTTCCTTCCTCATAGGTCAGTTGCATGGGCTGCAGTGAGACAGTGAGAATGTGTGACATGTGACAATCTTTCCCCCCTCTTCCCCAGAGCCTGTGTCCCCTCCACTGATCCTAGTCAAGGCTTTGTCCATTACACCAGGCTGGTGCAATGTCACCCTGGACTGCAGGGCCACAGGGGCCACAGAGGACCTGAATGTGACCTGGGAGAGCAAGGGCCTCCCCAGGGAGCTGGAGCTGAGAGGGACATGAACACCAGGCCCCAACTCCTGGACCCAGGGTGTGAACATGCCCCTGAGCGTGGCCAACACCTGCCTCACCTGTGTAGTCAGCAATTCCATGGACCATAACAATGCCACCTCAGGCCTTGGTGACATCTGTTCACAAGGTGAGTGCTGAGCAGGGTGTGGTGGCGCACATCTGTAATCCCAGCACTCAGGAGGCGGACACAGGAAGATTGTTTTGATTTCAAGACCAGCCTGGGCTACAAAGTGAGCTCAAGGCCAGCCTAAACTGCATAGCAAGACCCTGTCTCAAAAGACAAAAAAAAAAAAAAACACAAGATGAGTGCCAGCTGCTGGCGGTTAGGCTGTCAGGGAGCTCAGGGAGCAGTAGAGTCTGGGTTGCCCAGACTTTCCTCCCTGCCATGCTCATTAGCACCATTACCTGCACGTGGTCACCCCGTGCAGATGTCTGGAGTCACATTCATTTCACATCTGCCTGTAAATGTCCCTCACATCCCTGTCCCTCCCTGCTGGTCCCGGCAGCAGCCATCCAATGCCTCTCCAGCTCTGGGTACAGAGTGGGCTTTGCAAAAGCAGATCAGATTGTGCATATGTCAGGGTCATCTCTGTGTCTGACCTTCAGTTACTCCTGTAGGACTCAGGGATCACAAGTTATCTGCCCACGTTGTCCACTCATGAGTACCTTTCACACAGAACTTCTGCTATAGCCCCTGAATATGGACTGCCACTGAGAATCTTGAAGGTGTCAGCTCTTCTAGTTATCTGTCCAGGACAACTTCACACTTAGTAACTGTCCACTCAAGTGTTTGAATCCTGCATAGAACAGAAATCCTGGAGATCGTGTTCACGTGTTTGTACCTTTTCAATCCTCCTCACAACAGCTCTGGACAATGTCTGTGCATTAAAGGGGTTTCACTAAATGCACAAATGACCTGGGACCTGTGTGTGGCCTCCTCCTCTAGACTTTTCTTCCAGAAGCTGCTGGAGAATCTAATATGTCAAGGTCAACTATAACCCCTTGGCACATTGCCTACCCACCTCTTATTCTGGATACTCAAATAAATTTCTATACCGAGTATGGCCCAGGATACACTCTAGAATCCCTTCTTTCCCTCCTTTGACCCTAGATAGTTAGTTAGTTACAGCTTCCCCTCCCTCTTGGAATAACCTAGGAAACACTCACTTTCTTGCCTGGCTCACTTACCCAGCACCATCAAGGAGGCCCTTCCCCAGCCTTGTACAAGGTGAAAGCTCAGTTGCAGTGAGATGTCTTTGGCTGGTAGTTGATATTTTCTTTCTTCCCTCCTTGAGGAGAAGCTCCCACAGCTGACCTCATTGGAGGCATCTTCAGGGGAATCACAGCGGTGCTGTTCTTCCTGGGAGCTGGACTGTGCCTGTGGAGAATTCGAGACAAAAAGAAGATGGTGGAAGCGGAAGTGGCAGGTTGCACTTCTCCTTATGGGCAATGACCTCCTCTCTCCCAGTGCACCCTGGGCTTTTCCCTCCTGCACTTTGCTACCAGGAAGTGGGTCCTGCAGAGGGGGCACTGTATGTGACCATGATGGCTTTGGGTTCACGGAGGTGGGGGAACGTTACGGGTTCCTAGGCACAGAATAGAGCTCCACTCTGTCAATGACTCAGGCGCAGGACCCCTGGGGGACCACAAGGTCGATGACAGTGGCACCTACTATGTGCCAGTGATGGACCAGGCATCTCATGAGGGTAAGGACAAGGTGAGGCCTGGGGCAGTAGCCAGACTGACCACTCACAGGAGTCACTGCTGGCTATGTGCTCCCCAGACTGAAAAAATAGCTCTTTCTGTTTCCAGGGTTCTTTAACTCTTTTTGTACCGTATTGCCCCCGAAATAAGACCAGGTCTCATATTAACTGTTGCTTTGAAAGACGCAATTGGGCTTATTTTCCAAAAATGTCTTATTTTTTATGTACAAATGTACATTTATTTATGTACAAAACTATATTTATTCAGTTACTCATGTACAGAAACCCACATTTATTCCCTACAGACATGTCATGTTCAGGAACATCATCATTACTCTTCAAACCCTGAATTCTGCCCCGAATTTCTTACAAGTCCATTTACTGTCGAACTTTTGGCTCTCATCTCTCACATCCAGCAATGGAGCTGTCTTTTAATCAGCATTTTGTCCACGTAGCCTATCCTAGTGCTCATCAACACAGTGAGTTTATCCCATAAATTCTTCATTCATGTCACAATCTTTTGGAGGGTGAACTTCAAAAAGTTCCCATTAAAACAACTGTTTTAGAAGATTTACAGGACAGGACTAGCAACAAAAAGACAAAGTTAAGGATGATGGTCCACACAAAAGCATTGAAAAATTATAGGCAACAAAATTCAGGAAATATTTCTTTACTTCACACAAGTGGATTGAGGACATCAACTAGAACACGTGACATTATTTCGTTAAGTTTCATACTGGACACAATCGCATCCATTTGTTATCAAGTGTGTGCAATATTTATGGATATTGTGCAAACTCTGATCGCTATTTGGCAATAAGTCTCAAGTTCCCTTGTTTACGTAGGCATTTACCTCTTGTCTTAAGGCAAACCCTTGGGTATTCATAAATACTTCTTTATAATTTATATCATCACTCCTTTTAAGTCATAATGCCAAAAATAATATTTATTCACATTTAATTATATATTAACATTATTACTTTATAATTCAGTATGTCCATGGTGTGCTGTAACAGCTGTATTAAATGAATCTGTCTGTTGAAAACCCCAACTGGGGCTTATTTTGGGGGCGGTTTTGTATTATAAGCATCCTGAAAAATCATGCTGGGGCTTATTTTCCAGTTAAGTCTTACTTTTGGGGAAATGTGGTAAACTCAACAACATTAACTAGAATATTTATAATTGCCACATGTAGTGCTGGGTGCTTTGAAGGAATTCCTAAACAGTTTATGTTAATTGGCATGGAGGACAGGAGGGTCCCTTTTGGGTCACTTAATTATCCCTCAGCTGCTCCTGAACCTTCTCTCTTGCATTCCTAGGCTACTGGTGAATAACATCTAATGAAAAGAGGCTGCTCACTGTTCTCTGCAGAAAAGTTCTTGAGGCCAGGCCTCCAAGATAATGAATGTGGAGGAAACAGGAGACACCAGCCCTCGTGTACACCTGCACCCTAAGCCTGAGCCTGCACTCATCTAATTCCTCTGGCTTCGGTCGAGCTCCAGATGCCCCTAGCGTGCATTGTGCAGACCTGGTGGCTATAACTTCTCCTGGGGCCTCCCCAAGACCCCTACACTCAAGATCCTCATGCCTCAGAGTCAAGGTTCTTCCTCTGTCCTTGATGTGACCCCTGATCCCTCTCCTCTAGAATCCGCCCCAAAGGGAGCCCTGCATGAAACCCCCAACTCTGTTAACTGTGTGTCTTACTGAGAACACAGCCTTCTGAAGAGGTGTTGACTACCCAGAAAAGAAGGAATGAGAGCAGGCTCTGGATGCTGAATTGGAGGTTTATGGAGACAACGTGAGTGAATGGGAGTTGAGGCTTCCTTTGCAGACCTTGGATAGGCTTCCCTTAGGGGTCTCAGTCAGAGTGTGTTTTGGGGGTTTTACTGTGTGCCAATCTGTCATGGTAAGTCTATGGTGCATCTATGTCTATTTTTACACATATGGATACACTGTCAGTTCTGTTCTTATGTAGAATTCAATCACATCCACTCATCCATTTCCCATCTAGATGGCTCTAGTTGAATCATTTGTCTATTTCCATCAGCAATGTTTCAAGATTTCTCCATATGCATTTCAAGTTTTCTTATTATCTGTTGTATTGATTACATCCATCCTACTGAATGTAAAGTAGTGTATGAGTATGGTTTTGATTTCCCCAATGAATACTGATGTGATATATCTAGTCATTTGTGTATGGCCTCTGGGATACCTTCTTGTGTGAAATCCCTTTCTCACTTGAGTTTTCCAGCATCATGAATTGTCCCCAGCACTGCATTGAAAGTGCTTTTGTCTGGGTCACCAGGGAACTCCACATTGTTATTTTCAATGATCAGCTCCAAGTGCTCATCTTCTTTGAAATCTGAGCAACACTTGACATATACTTACTTGAACACTATCCTCACCGCCCACCTTTCTTGTCATGCCACTCAGTGGATGCTCTTTTCTTTCTTTTACCAGCTTCTTTTATTCTTGCCCACATCTGCGTTCCTGACTCTCCCAAGGTTCACTTTGAGACCATCTTTCTTCACTCAGTCACTTTATGCTATTGGCACCATGCACTGATCCTCAGACCTTGTGACTAACTTGGTAAAACTGACTTGAGAGATGTCTTCAGTGTTAAAAAACCAAAAACAAACTTTGAGGTGTACAGATGATAAAGTTTATGTGAGTGACCACAAAAAATCAAGCAACAGATAAAAGGGAGTTAGATAAGATGTAAAACTGATTCCACTCACTGATACTGGCTTTCAAGATGTAGTAAGCAAGTGACATGGAAATGTAGTATTCTTGTAAAAAAAAAAAAGAACCTGTTTATAGTGAACAAGAAAATGAGGGCCTCAGTTTTATCACTGCAGAGAAAGGCATCCTGGTAACAACCTCTACTGGGACACAATGAATGCTCCCTTAAGTCTACAGAAAGAAATGCAATTTTTTCTCACATATACAATACAATTTTTTAAATTTTTTTTAGAAATGCAATTTTAAGATAGCATAGTTTTACTCTAGGGATTCACCATGTATTGCCCTCCAGGACGATGAGATCAGTTTCTGTTGTGTTAGGATATTAAGTCTAAAGAATAGAAAATACTGCAGGTAGTGGATGCTTATGGTTTGAAATCCTTTGGGTACTCCAAAGTTTCTGGTCTGGTACCTCCAATGAAGTGCATATTGTAAATGTCCAGCTGTTTATATGGCATCTCTACTTGATTGTGGGCCTTAGAGATCAAGTAGGATCTCCAGCTTGACATGGCTAAATTTAAGCCATCTCCATATGCTCCCACAGAGTGTTCTCTTTCCAATCACTCTCACCTCTATTCTTCCACCTGTTCCAGTGACAAAAGCATGGTGTCATCTTATCTTTTCCCACACCCCACACTCCAATGTGTGTTTTTGTGGGGGGTTTTTTTGTCTTTTTTTCTGGTACCAG